TTATTAATAATTTATTTAAAAAAATATTAAAATTTAATTCATAAATAATTATAATAAATAAAAAATTAAATTAAATAAAAGTTAAAAGTCTCTAAAAATCTAAAAATCTTATAAACGTTCTCATTCTGGATAGGAATTTATATTAAATATATAAGGCTTGATAGTTTCATATGTAAAAATTTTAAATAGTTTAAAAAATAATGTGAGAACGTATACTCTCATATATTAATGATTTTATAATATTTTTAAATAATTAGATCGAGTTAAATTTGGTTTGATATAATATCATTTGATACAAAATATTTATTATTAAAAATTGTGATTAATTTCTACTAAAAATTATAAATAAATATTTTTTTTTAATCTAGTTTAAAGTTAGAATTCGAATTCTAAACACTCGATAATGAATAAAAACTTAATATTTTATAAATAACATGAATCTATCAAATTTGTATTTATATCAATCGGATCAATTTTAAAAATATTGGATATTACATACTTAAAAAATGTCTAATAATAAAAAATAATTTTTATAGTGATTTCAAATTAGGGCATCACAGCATGAACCTTTTATAAGATATTAAACGAGTGATCCAACTCATCATGTGTTAATTCAAACCAAAAACTCATTTGTAATTTCATCATTTAGTTTAGTGTCATAATTAAATTAATAATCTTTATATTTAATATTTAATAATTCAAAGAATTTATTTTAATTAGTTGATTAGAATTAATATCCAAATAAATAATCCAACAATTTATTCTTGAAACACCATCTCATGTGTCACCGTTGCCCATTTTTACACTTAAAATGGCATAAATAGATACACTTGATAGACAAATTTAGAGCGTGTTTGTTTTACTCTGTATAATAAAATCTTGCTCTTTATAAGGCAAAAGTATACATTTTTAATACAATTCTTTCTCCAAACTTTTATCGAAATTAATTCTACCGAACTCTGATTGGAGTGTTAATCTCTCAATAAATTTTACTTCTTTTCTTATCTAAATATAAGAAATAGAAATGTATATCATCCGGTTTCAAACCAAAATATCTGTTACTTGTGAGACAGTATCTTAGGAAGAGACATGATATGCAAAATCAAAATAAATTCCTCAAGTATGTTGACGGTTCAATTCCTCACAACGCGAATAAAAAACCTCTGTAAAAAGTTTTTGGATAAAAAAAAATAAAATAAAAAACCTCTGTTAAATAAAGGGAACAGTCTCCAGATGTCACCAAAAAAACTAAAACAAATTCCACCTTCCCACACAAAAATCATCGTTTTGTAGTAATTCATTTAACTAAAAAAAAAAAAACAAAAAACAAAAAACCAGATCCACAGACTAAATAAGTAAATATGTTTTTATCTCTCTGCATGTTCTTCTCTTGTTTGTCAATTTTTACTCATTTGCGTTGCCTAGAGTAATCTAACACTTGAGTAGATCAGCCTACAATTGTACGATGAAATAATGAGAAACTGCCCAGAGATTGGGGCTATGAATTCAAGCAAACAGGAAAAAAAATTGCTTAACTTAATATCTCTAATTTATGATGTCAATTCTTTCAATGAGTTGAGTTTGAATGTCAACTTCATATCTTGTATTTTGTCTATACAATGTTGGTATGGCTTACTAACCAGAGGGATACATACAACCATACAGGTACCAAAATTGCGACATCACAAGCAAATCTAAAGAGAAAAAGGTGAATACACATTTATCACCTCCCGTTCCTCCCTTCCAGAGAGGGAAAAAGCTGCTAAGTTAATTATGCATGGAAAAAGATATTAACTAGGACCCATAAAAAGATTGGTCTGCCTCACCCTTCTAGGCAGGCCAAAATTCTGATAACACCTAATTTCACCTCCAAACCCAGCTGTCACAATTACCAAGCCCCATGCTGAAGGATGCATTGCTGAGGCACCATTGCAACCATCATTAGATGAATAATTGGAAGACATAGATGATGTTGATGGAGAAGCTGCAGCAGATATACTAGCTGAATCACCATACCTAAGTGATGATGAGCCTGAAGCAAATGAATCACCTAATCCTGTGTCTGTCCGAGTAATTGCCTCAAGTTCTTCTTCTATGTTGTCACTTTCTACTGGCTGGTTGTTACTTTTCTGAGGAAGAGGTGGCAACATTCTCTTACTGTTCCCAAGTGAATCTCCAATTCCAGATTCTGTGTGTGAAATTGCTGCAGGGTCACTATTATCTGGGGAGTCCGGGGAACTTTCTATGGCATTGTTGTTACTTTTCTTTGGAAGAGGTGGCAACATTCTCTTGCTGGGTGAGCCAGAGGCAGTGTCCTGATCTTTTACGGGTTTAGGGTTGTTTTTTTTGGGGTTAGGCCCTGGCATTGGTGGTGGATCACCCCTTACGGTACCAGGCCAAGGTATTGCTACTGAAACATCTTTACATGGGAAGTGCTCGTGAGCTTGATTAATAAGCACAGTTTTGGCTTTTCCAGGGCCTGCACTGCGAGACTCTTCATGCTTCCAAACATACACTTGAGAGTCTTCACTTGCACATATGATATACCTTCCATTTGGAGTAAATGCAGCTGTAATTTGGCTGCTTGTATTTCTAAAGCCTGCTTTCACCAGCATGTTAATAAAACTTTTCTATTGGTTATTATGCAAAATAAAAGGACAATATGATGCATCATCACCTTTATACTTTTGAACAACTTGTGAATCTTCCACAATTCTTATCCTACAATCAGCTGATGTAATGAGCACTTCTGATGGATTGTTTGGGGCGAACTATGAAGATTCAAAGCCAGTTAATTTTCATTCTTGACACAAAACAATCTTCAGTGGTAGGAAAAGGAAACCATACACCATATAACAATCTCTTTTAATATGGAGAGAAGAATTTACCTGGAAACCATTAACCTTTTTCTTCAGCTGAGCTGTCTTTTTGCTTCGAACCTCGATTGTGCCAGATTGAGATAACTTGTAATCTGGTGACCGTATGGAAAGTAGAATTCACAACATAGCAGATATTGTAAAATTTCAAAATAATTGAGGATGGGAAATAAACAAGAGTACACTAGTTGAGCAATTAACAGTACCTTCTATGGTGTAAGATCGACAATTCCCTTTTTGTGTACCGACTAGAACACCCTGCAATTATGAAAAGAAAAAACCGATTATCAAAGCCGATGAGGATTATTAAATATTATCAATAATAAAACCTGCACTAACCATTAAGCAATATGTGAGAACAAATAGGAGATGCACATAGGGGAAGAAAAGAATACCTGGCCATCAGGGGTGTGAGCAACAGCAGTAACCATTTCATGTATATCAGTCCAATCCACAACGAGACGTGCAGAGATGTTCCACATTCTGACCTTAGCATCAAGAGAGCCAGTAATGAAATAATCTTCGTCCATGGGGTTGAACTGCACGCAAGTCACTGCCATAGCCGATTCCACAACAAATAGCAAAACACAAAACGAACCCAATTAAGTAATGTGCCACATATCCTCCCAAACAAATCAAAAAATAGAACACCAAAGTTTAAACATATCACCGTAGTCATTATGTGCAAAGAATTTCACGCAAGTCTTTGTTTCCAAATCCCACAACCTCACTGTCTTATCCATGGAAGATGACAGAAGTTGCTGCAACGACAAATACACATTAAAAAATAAAATCACCGCCTAATATTTTTTCCTCACAAAAATTTACAAAACATTGAACATTTTCTATAGACTGTGTGTATGTGAACGAACATCCGCGAAATTGATTAAAATTTGGTTTTTGCAGCAAGGTGATTTATGATTTGGTGTTTTTATGTCAAAATGAAATTACTAGTAAAAATATTTGATCTGGCATTTAAGCTATGCTACAACTCAAAATCAATTTTGACCTCAGAATCAAAATCAAATTGTTTCAACTCAAAATCAGTCGTAAACTCAGAATCAAGTTGTCTCAACTCAAAATAAATTCTGATATAGAATCAATTCCATTACTGGCGAGACCTAACATGCAAACATTTTCCTAAATTTTGGATTACTGAAATGAAACCAAACAATCACAGTAAAATGAAATTAGTTTCCGACAAAGCATTCTAGTCAATGCCATGGTAAAAAAAAAAAAAATCACAGTAAAATGAAATTGAGTTAATAATAGTTTGGAATGGAAATGATTTGTTTTGGTGTTTTTGTTTTTCAAAAAGAAATTAATAATAAGAAAAATTATCCAACAAAGATTACACTTCAACTCAATCAATTCTGGATTGAAAATCAAGTTGATTCAACTCGAAATCAATTATGAATTCAGAATCAGTTATATCAAACTTGACCTCAAAATTCCAATAAAATTTCTTCAACTCAAGATCAAATATGAATTAAGACTCAAGCTGTTTCCACTCAAATTTATAATCAATTATATTAATGAATAAGCATGTAACCAAGCAACGAGAGGAAATTAACTTACCTGAGATTTGTTCCAAGACAAATCCAAGACCTCATCCAAATGACCATTGAAGGAACAAAACGGTTTGTCAGAGAGCGAAAACACAGTTTCCGGAACATGAACAAAGTCCGGAATAGCGCCCCCTCTCTTGCTCCCACTCTTCCCTTTCTTGAGCAGCGAGGGATGAATCGGCGACGGCGCCGCGTTCCCTTCCTCAGGCCTCATCGGCATAACCTCACACTCCTGCACCTCCCACACGTGTATCGCCTTATCCTCGCCCGCACTCGCCAAATACTTCCCATCCAAACTGAACTTAAGCGTCCACACGCACCCCTCGTGCGCCTGAAACTCCTGACACAAATGCAACGCCGAAAGCTCCTTCTGCGACTTCCCTGTCTGCCGCACGCGCACCCACTCGTTCTGCCCCTCCGGCGCTGCCGCCGCAGCAGCAGG